AATGAAAAAGACTAGTACATGAAGTGGTATGAGGTAAAATAATAATAAAAGGATGCACGAAAGAAGATAGGCACTAACTCCTCAAATAAATGAAAATTACAACACGATAAACAAAAATATACAATAGTGATTGGGTCTAGTTCCTAGAACGACTTGATCAAAACAGGAAAGTTTAATACAGAATAGCATGGCTGTAACATTGATTCCATCAAACCAATTTCACTCTTTTACGAAATTGTTACGATCAGTTGAAGTTTATTTTAACATTTTTAAAAGGGCTACTATATTTCTGATCTGTTTTAGTAGAAACATATGTGCCATTAACTTTCCCATGCAGATAGGTGGTTTAGTGGAGGAGCCAGAAATAGAGTTGCAAATAGGGTTCCTCATCGCAAAACGTAGTCTGAAAATTGAGAGCTGCCACCGGTTCAACAAGAGCAGAGGCAATTTTTGCAAGATGGCAAACCTGATTTTCCTTCATTCAACTCCATTATGAACAATCGATTCTGAGTGAGAATATCGATAGTTTTAAATGCATCGAAATGTACGGAACTCAGTTTTACTACTTCCGCAAATGCCACTGAACGAGGTAACATTTTTTCCAAGCGACTAGACTAGATTCAGAATCGAAGGAGGCAATATTTTTCAATTTTAGATAAAAAGGATTCTTCATTCCCCGAATATGTCTTGCTCTCGTCGCGGAACCGAATATTTCATGGGATCTATACAAAAATTCCTGAAGCTTTTCCTGGATGAGTTGGACATGAAGACTCTTTACCGGGGGCTTGGATTTCGTTCACAACAGACGAGCTTCGAAAAATCGAACTAAAGTATTTATGTATGCGGTACATTGAAAAGAATAATCACAAGAAGGTGATCAGCAGAGCTCATTTCGACCATCAAAACCAGAAACGTTAAATCATCAAAAATCCGATTAAACCCATTACGTATTTTACACGTACCCTGAAGGGACGAGACATTCTTTAATTTAGTGGGTTTTCATATTTTCTTTACCATGAAAGTAATTTTTACAACACGCGAAGGGCTAAAAAATTTTGTTAGATTGAAAAAATATGGTGAAAAGTGAAAAGAGGGGTGTTTTAAAAACATCGTTCCAATAAAAATTAAAGGGTCTAGGCATTCGAAAATTTTTAAACTCGTCGCCTTAAAAATTATGAGTATGGTTACACTGTTGATGTTATCATTTTGCTCTATGCTTCAAAAGAAGACCTTCTTCGTACAGAAATTTTCCATGAGATAATCGATTCGGTCAACGGAGCGGAAGTCTAAGGAGAGCGAGAAATTCAAAAATTACAAGATGAATTAGTTAGATCAAACGCAACTAGGTGGGGAGTTCGACTAAAATACATTCTTATCCACACTAAATAATATCACTATACCTCTCGAAACATCTTCACGCAACAGAAAAGGATAATTAACATGAGAGATATCCCGTAGGCTTAATTTTTATAATTTAGGTATGTTCAATTCGAGGGGAAAAATACATATGATATTATTTTAAAGAGGAAAAATCAGTCACTCTTAGTTGATCACTTCATGAAATTACTATTAATAATGATTCCTAAACATCGTGATTCAGATTACTTGAACTTTGTTGTAAATAAGAACTCAATAGGATAGGAAAATGATAGATTAAGAAGGTCAACAAATGACATTTTTTGGTAAAGAATATTTGTTAAGATTCAGAAAAATAATGCAACTTGTATGGTGCAATATAAATTAGTGTCATCGGTTGGGAAACAGGAACATATTGGAGTGATGTCTACTACAAAAAATAGATTATACTTTGAGATTGAGACACACGCCACATTTCATATAACTGATAAAAATATAGGTTTTGAACCTTGGACGTGGACTACAATTTTTGTCTCCTCAGAAAAATTTTCCAGAGCAACAAAAAAAAGAAAAAAGCAAAGGAAATCAAGACGTGCTAAGCACGCATGTACAAGCTCCAGTTAACATAATTAACGACTAGAGGCGGATCCAGCAGGACGGCAAAATTGACATTCCTCCATTTAAACATGTGATTAATAATCGATTCTTGTCGGAGCACCTGACCCCTCTGAATCGAATCATTTTCATGGGTTTATTTGGAGAGGAACTAATGTTGCCAACTTGCTAGATTTTTTAATGCTGACGACAGCCCAACATAGTCAACCAAAAGTTTAATGTTAGATCATATTTAAAATAACTTTAAGAATTAAATATGATTGATTAAGGCTTTCAGATTAGACACATTTGTAAGAGGGAAACATTTTAGACGTTACCCGAAATGAATGTCTACGGTGGATGGAATTTACAAAAAAAAAAAAAAAAAAAAAAAAAAAAAAAAAAAAAAAAAAAAAATAAAACATTCCACCACAGCACAGTACATGACTAACATCACATGAGATTTAATACCACGGAGGACTTCAGGCTGAAGAAATGTTTAAAGTCCCGAGAAATTATTTCACAGAGCGAATGAATTCATTAGCATAGCATTCTATCCGACTATAAATATTCAACAAGAATTCCATTACAATGGAATCAATCTCCAACCCTTTGAATAAAATATTAAATCCGTATAGTTTAATAAAAAAAATGTACGGAATGCAAAATCAATATTTAGACGCCTCTGTCCCTGAAATACACATGGAGGTGCAGGATGATTTCATTCAGAGGGTTGATTCTATACGGCATACGGCAGAGACTGTTGATTCTATTCTACCGCATGCTAAGTATATGATTACTTTCCTTAAAGAGTCGTACATGAATAATACTTGCTTGGTGGAAATCATTTAAATAAAATGTTATACTTCGATTTTGACTTAAAGCTCGGAATGCGATCAGCTTGATTAGTTTTCGCTGATCAGTGAGTTTCGCTGATCAGTCAGCTGAGACCGTGAAAACACGACTTTTATGGTTTAAAACAACCATTGGTATCACATCCAATTTGTGGGTGTTCTTCGCGCCAAATTCTGCCGAATAAGTCCCTTTAAGCTATTAGTACAGTAATCTCATTTTTTTCTACCTAAAGGTCCATTTTCACTGCTAAAAAAAGTTACTATTGCTAACTCAGCTGACTCTATTTGGTGCAGTACAGTAGGCAGATTGGTTTTTAACAATGACTACCACCATACCACCGGTATTTCGGTAAAGTCCGGAAAACGCCAGTTCGGCACGAGACACGGTATTCTTTGGGCACCACGAAAATATATTTTCTCTACAAAGATTCATAGGCGAAGCAACGGTAAATTCGGAAAAAAACTCTTAGTCTAAAGTATGAACATTTGACATGAATCTAATGGTTGGCAACTCATATAGATGACATCATTTTTATTTTTGCCGTTTGACTAATGTTAAAAAATAATACTTAAATCTTCAGAGGCTAATTTTCCCAACCTCACCACTGTGTGAATCATGCTCTGGGTAAAATTTCAGGAGAAAACATAAACCGCAGTGGTTCAATTTGCGCTATGCCTGATATCCTGTTTAGCTGGCGTAAATAATTAATTTGGTTGGTGTAAAGGACCAACTAGAGTAGCTGAGTACAAAGCAGTCATCGCCCCAAAGACCCTAACTTTCCCAGATTCCCAGCGGGCTGATCATTGAAATTGATACATGAAGCGATAGACAAAGGAAGCGATAAAAAAATTGAGCGATCCTAATGGAGATGTTGCTTGTGTGAGGGATTTGCGATTTGACCATTGATTCTTATGTGAAAGTTCGCGAGAAACACGATGGTGCCACTGGTTTCTCTGAAATCATCTCCCAAGCTCAAAAAAAGCTCTCAAAGTGAGTCCAAAATGGAGTGGATATCCCACCCTACCCTGAGAGTCCACTTCTACATCAAAACAAACTCTCCATGCAAAGGTAGGTAGCAAATACATTAGCAGGGTTGCCGTGTTTTCAGTTTTGGAGTCCCCAAATAAAGTGGCAACCCTGCTAATGTATTTGCTCCCTATCTATGTAAGGAGAGGATCTTTTGATGTAGAGGTGGACTCTCAGGGTAGGGTCATCGGGTGGGATATCCCCTCCATTTTGGCCTCACTTTGAGAGCTTTTATTGAGCTTGGGAGATGATTTCAGAGAAAACCAGTGGCACCATCGTGTTTCTCGTGAACTATTACGTAAGAATTGATGGTCAAATCGCAAAGCCCTCACACATGCAACATCTCCATTGCTTGAAATGGGCGGTAGTTAAAGACTACGGGGGAAATGATGGACTAACTATAGGATCTCTTGTGAGTTACTAGTCGCTAGTCTAGTGCTTCTTGATCCATTGCTTTCACCCGTTTCCACCAAAAAGATCGCTCCATTTTCTGCTCGTCCTCTTTGTCTATCAATTCAATAATCAGCGGGCTGATTTTTGAAATTAACCGACGAAGCTATAGACAAAGAAGACATAGGGAACATGGAGCGATCCTATTGGTTGGAACGGGCAGTTGTCAAATACCAAGGGGAACACTGATGGACTACGTAAAGGGTGTCTCGCGGATTGACGTTCGTTAGTCTATTACCTACCTATTCTGTCCATTGCACTGAAAATAAAATAGTTCTGTTCATAGAGCTCCTGCACTTTTTTTGTCACAGCTACAGAAGTTTTCGTTATTAGGACAGAATACTCTGTGCTCACGACCGAAGTTCTATTCTCACAACATGAAAAGTTCAGTGAGTATAACAAAGAAAGTTCAGGAACACTGTGAACGGAGGGTTCTGTCATCAGCACCGACTATCTTTTTGCGTGTGCGACCACCCGCTTCCACCAATAGGATTCCTCCTTATCCTTTTGGTCATATTTGTCTATCGCTGTGTCTACCAATTTCAAGAATCAGTCCGGACACTGGAAAAAAAAAGTCGCTTGGATCTAGAGTCCAATATTTTTTCTTGTCAATGTTTATAAGAGTCTGAACTCTGGATCCAAGCGACTTTTTTTCCAGTGGAGCCTACTGGAATGATTCATGGACGACCTCACAGTTCCACGTTGGGGGCGGGCGGAGATCATTGGAGGGCGATGGCGCTCTGGACCTCGGCCTTCTCGAGGTTGACCTCGTGCTTGTTCCTGACGTGGCGGAGGAGGTCGGCCTTGTGCTTGCACTTGTACATGCAGAACGGGCAGAAGTGGTTGGGCTCCTTGCCGCACTCGACGCGGATGTGCCGCATGAGGTTGTTCTTGTAGGTGTAGGTCTTGAGGCACTTGGGGCACGGGAAGTGGCCGGGGGCTTTGGAAGGCGACTTGTGGTACAGGCTCATGTGCTTCATCATCCCGGAGCTCGAGAGTTCCTCGTTGAGTTCCTCCACGAGCTCCTCGGACAGCTCCTCGTCGGCGCGCCACTCCCGCTTCTTCTTCATGCTCCCCACGCCCGACAGATACTCCTCCAGCGAATCTGAAAAACCCAAGTCAATTAGACTAGCTCTAGGCCGCCGAACCATAAGAATTGGCACTCATAACACATACAGGGTTATTCAAAAGTCACGCACTACTGGCTATGAGGTGGGTGGTCATTTGAAATTTTCGAGTTGCCCTCACCCCCCTCCCTCGAGGGGATCAAAAACTGGAAAGTACCTTCAAAAGTTTCCCCCTCGATATGAGGAAAAACGTCTTGAACCGCAAGTTGATATCATAATTAGAACTAAAGTTATGGCCAGAGGTGCGTGACTTTTGAATGACCCTGTGGCACACGGAGAAGAAAAGGGGTGATGCCAGCTTCTTCGGGCTGATTATTAAGGTGATAGACCAAAAATATAAGAGGAAAATGGAATGATCCTATCGGTTGCGACTGGTGTTTGCTGCGGACTAAAAGTGGGTATGTTTTGTAATGATGGACTCATGGAAAAAAAGAGTAAGGGGTTAACCCCTAATTTGTTGAATAATATGGACATTTCCAATTTATTGTGGTAGTACCGCAACATTTGTGATTAGTAAACTAATTTATTGGAGTACTACCACAATTAATTGGAAATGTCCATAACTCCACATCCTCCAAAAACCCCGTGCTCTTTTCTTCCGAGATAACCAACTTTTTTCGAGTGTCTCGTGGTATCATTAGGTATCCTTTGTCCATCGCAACCACCGTCTTTCCACTTGCTGGATCGCTCCGTTTTCTTTTTGTCTTCGTTGTCTATCGCCTTGTCTATACATTTCGATAATCAGCCCACTAATTCGTTTACCGATACACTGTTACTCAAAGTGGAGCAAGCCATTGGGATTGTCGGACATGAAATTATTTCCTACAACTACGAAAAATGTTGATATTTATACTGTCTCATTTGTGCATGACATTATGGGTATTTGTAGGCAATTGTGCGAAAAAAATAATGTAAGTATATTTAAACTTCTACGTTTCGTATTGACAAAGATATCCGCTTTTAAAATTTCCACATTATATCTAACATCTCTCGCTGACTCCCATTCGGCGACGGAGGAGACGTAGGACGAACCGGAACGTGCTTTCTTGCACATTTCAGTACAAAATAGGCTATAAACCATTCTTGGAGAAAGTCATATTTCCATAAACCACACTATTTTCTAGAAAATCAACGACAAAAATGTCTGTAACCACTTTCATGGACCTCTCCCTAAGATGCCTGAAATACAAACACCTCCTTTTTTTCTCCAGGATCATGACATATTGTAAAATGAAGCTGCATTAGAAGTCGTAAGAAGAAGAGCAAGAAGAAGAGGAATGAAGAGAAAAATAATCGAAGCAAAAAGCGATATTAGTGTTGTTTTTATACATCGATTCACTCTCACTGTTAGCACCGACAATGAGAGAATTATGTCATTGCTTTTGTTTCGATCAAAGTCGATATAATAATCTATATCGACGGTGAAAGTCGGCAATCACATAACTCGTTTGCGGTGTCTGAAAATCTCCGCCTCTACGTCATTTTTTAAAGGAGAGCAAATTGACATTATTTCTTGAAGTTTTCGCAGAATTTTCTTCGCATTGAGAAGAAAAATCATGACAGTTTTAAAGAATTGCCGTTGAGTAGTTTTCCATTTAAAAAAATAAAGTATGACAGGAAGTCTGCGACGTCGCAAACCGAGTTATGTGATTGCCGACTTGCACCGTCGATATGTTGGCGTCACCACTTAAATCGTCAATTTGGAGGGGGATAGGGACTAGGGTCAGACAGGAGTTGGAACAGAGGCTCTCAAACTGTACAAATTCGCCGAAGGACAGGGACGAGCAACGAAAAATAACCAAGAGTGCAAGCTCAAATTAGCGTTAGTCTTCTTCCTTTCTTTCGTTGTCTCAAGGGGACAGACCGATCCGAAGTTCCCCAGATCGACCGTCAAACTAGAATTTTTCTCCGTCTCCCCGCTTACGTGTCGCTCGCGATCAGCGGGATGAAAATGGACAAAAGGTGGAAGTTGAAAGACGAAGAATCATGCAAAGTTGAAAGAAGAATATGCGGCCTTGGTAATGGGTGCGAAATATGATTTCCCTAAGAAATGTCCAAAACTTTCAGTCTCATATTTCAAAAAAAAAATTTTTAGCGTGCAATTCCAAGTTTCTGGGAAAAGGGCCTTAAATAATATTGGAACCCCTGTCAAATTTAAGTTTAAGTCCTTTTATTCGACAAGTACCTGACGTGGAAGGTGGAAAAGTGAAAACAGCGGAAAAATGGTCTGAAGTCATTCAGCGATGGCCCCAAGTTCGATTTTCTACATAGGTAAGGAAACCAAGCAAATGACAAACAACACTAAAATTAAAGTATTGCGCACGAAAAGTCGTTGGTTCCTGTATCTACTGCCCGAACAGCTACGAAAAACAACTGTTAACTAACTTACCAGATGCGAATCATGGGCCTCCGGGACATCGAATGTCAAGCTGCTGGCTTGATATATAAGGGTAAGATTCAGGCGTATTTCACCGATCGCCTGGTTCACTGATTATTAAATTCCCCCTTTTATATTTATTGCTACTGGTAACAGCGCCTGGCATATGCGTATTCGTGCGGCGAGATTTTCAAGAGGAATTTGACACAGGACATAATGACTGCCATCAGGTGCGTCCATTGTAGGACTGCTAAGATCAGAATTTGGGCATTAAGTGCTGCGATTTTTATCAAAATTAACAGAGAGGCCAATTTGAGGCTCACTCCTAGGAAAATGAATATGTGGCGCTTACCTGGGTCTTGGGAACGCACCAGCCCTAGGTGGATTGAATCCCAACCCAAAATGTAGGGAACGCCACTTTACCGACCTCCAGAAAACTACAGTACTTTTGTAGTTATTTTCAGCCAACTCCTGAAGCCTTGTCTCCACAGGACTTTTCATGGGATTCGTCCCAAGTTCGAATGGCAGGTTCGAATGAAACTTCTGGGCTTCTTCCCCTTGAAAAAAAAAACAACAACATTTCTTCTTATTTTCTCTGAGTCGCTCTTAAGACTCCGAAAGGACTTACTTGGTACTGTGATTAGTGTTGACTAACTCAGTATTTCTCCCAACTTCGCGAGTGAGATTTTTCCTTGGGACAAATCCTATGCAACCTCCCTTGGAGACAAGGCCTCAGCAAGATGCCCAAGTTTTTTGTGTGCGTGGATTCAAGCGTTCGTAAAAAAACGAAAATTTATACTTGCGTCATTATGCATACTAAATAATCATTCTTGTGAATGATCAATAATTCCTCCGTGTTATTTGTATGTAAAATGAAGCAACGCCTACAGGAAGATTTATGAGTTCTCAATTTGCCTATGGTGTATTTGTCAAGATTTTTGATTGGATCTTTCCTTTTAAATTTTCGAGAAAAACTTAGATGCTCAAAGTGTCTTCTTTGTCGTAAAGTTAGCCGCATCCAAAGCACACTTATAATAGATTTTCTTACGATCATACATAATGATTCATTCCGTGCACATTGAATGGGTGACAATCCGTCATTTTTTCAGCAAACTTACATAATTGTAAAATTTGCTGAACAGTGACTTAGGCAAAATGATCACGAATAAATATTCCTAATACTTCTACTGGAGTTCTTGCACGTGTGGGGGTTTTGCAATTGAAGACATTTTTCTTGTGTAAAATTTTGCAAGAAACATGATGGTGACGTTGGTTTTCTCTAAAATCAATTCCCAAGCTCAATAAAAGTTCTCGAATTTTAAACCGCAATGGAAGGGATATATCGACGGTGAAACTACCAAACCACGTATCTCGGTTTGCGACGTCGCAGACTTCCTGTCATACTTTATATTTTAAATGAAAAACTACTTTACGTCCAGTCTTGAAAATTTCTGTGATTTTTCCTCTTCGTGCGGAGAAAATTCTGTGAAAATTTCAAGGAATGATATTGATTTGGTCTACTTCAAAAAAATTAAATGCGAGCGTAGATTTTTAAACACCGCAAACGAGATACGTGGTTTGGTAGTTTCACCGTCGATATCCTACTACGTTAACAGTCCACCTCTACATCTAGTCCAACACTCCATGCACAAGACGGGGAGAAAATGCTTTAGCAGGATTGCCACTTTTTTGAGGGACTCTAAAGTTGGAACCACGGCAATCCTGTTAATGTATTTGCTCCCTGTTTGTGCACGGTGAGTTGGACTAGATGTAGAATAGTACTCTCAGTGTAGCGAGGTATATCCTCTCCATTACAGCCTAAACTTTGAGAGCTTTCCTCAAGCTTGGGGATTGATTTCAGAAAAAACCAGAGTCACACTCGTGTTTCTCGCAAAATTTCACAGGCCAAGAAGTACTTTAAACGCAAATCTCTGTTGTAAGAACTCCATTGGATGATTTAAAAAGCATCCAGTCGGTCATCTCGATGAAATACTCATTTGCCTTCGATTCCGAACAGTGAAAGTAAACGAAGAAAATATAAAAAATAAAAAGAGAAAAAATAGGAAGACTAAGAGGTTGTATTGGAGAAAACCGTACACGATAAACCATACATCAGAAAATAAATAAGAACCTTTCAAATTGTCTGTTTAACAATGTCGTTCAAATTTTAATTTTGAAAATGATACTAAAAGTGTAAAAAGAACCGACTGCACTGTTTAGTTATAAAAAACTTTGATTTGAGCTCATAAAATCAGTGACATTTTCAATCTGCTCAACATTTCGGCCTGCATTATGAAGACTTTCCTTGGCTAAAGAATTTATTTTGGACGAAACTATATTTAGAGTGCCTTCTTGGCATTATTTAATTTCTCACGATATTTTACGCGATTTATGAAATTTTCTTGCACAGTCCATAACGGAACTTCATTGTTGAGTGCGTGCCTGGAATATTCAAATAGGTTGAGGTTACTGACTTCAGTCACTCGAAACAATTATGTCTAAAGACTAATGACGACACAATCCTATCTTGTCATTCGAAATCGAGAAGAAGAGACGGTTCTGAAGTTAGAAATTGCTACTCAGCGGGGTTGTAATTCCTGAATTGAATAAGTTCTTTGTGCTTGGAACTAAGGTGGAAGAGCAACTC